TTCTAAAAATAAAAAAAATATTTAACTTTCTTTTAGTGAGCACTTAGCTGATAAATTCTACTAGAGTAATTTGTTTATACATGATGACATTTTTTATAATTTTGTAAAATTTTATAATTTATACATAATGACAAGTTAAAAAGTATTTAAAAAATTTGAAATTTTTCAAATACTTTTTATGCTACTTAAAATAACCATTTTATTAAATTGCGAAAATTTTGGCAAATAATGGCTTTAAACAGAGATTATCTTATTCGTCTTTAAATGGTAAAAGAATGTGTCAAACTTAAAGTAACGTCATTTTTTTATTATTACAACCTAATTTCTAAAACCCAGCTACTGTGCCAAATGCTGTATAATATCGTTTGAAGGTAAACTTGCTAAAGCTCAATGTTAAAAAAAAAAAAAATTCACAGCAGTTGCCGCAATTTAAGTTGTGGCAACTTCTGTATAGGGGAAAGCGGGGCAGCATGGCGAACGTTTTGAGAGCCCTGACTTATTGCAAATCAGTAATGTAGCCATAATACTTTCTACGTATGTTTATGTTTCTAAAAAGAGTTATTTCCTGCATGAATTTTCAGTTTGAGTTTTCAAATATAACAATTCGAAATAAATATTAAAAAAAAAAGTTCATAAATTTGTCATCTGGTCACGTGACCGGGGCAAGATGACTTATTATGCAATTTTTTCCCTCTAATTTTATGAAATTTTAAAAACTACCCAAAACTCGAACTAAAGTTAGAAATAATAAACAAAATTTGCAAAAAACTACTTCTAAAGTAGTCAAACTTAAAGGGAACCATCTATTATGAAAAACCGAAAGTAAGGAATTTATTTTCAAGCGCAAAAAGTAAACTTATGCGTATATAATGGCGTTAAAAATATTTCAAAAAACCAGTTGGTGCTTTAAATTACAAGATGCAAATACAGTTTCGTTTTTACCCAATTTTAGGATTTTTTGTTGAGTCGTTATATGAAAACCCATCTTGCCCCATTCGCCATGTTGCCCCGCTTTCCCCTACCATTAACTCAACACTCAATTGAGTCTTGAGTTAATGGTCTTTTTAAATAAGGACTCTCTTAGATAACAGATTTTAATTTAAATGAGTAACTTTAAATTCAGCTTGTAAGGTGTCATTTCCTATCATAAAATATTATTTTGTGATCGGCCTATATGCATCACTTTATAATTCTCAATATCAAAACTAATCATCCATCGCATTGACCATTCACAAGCATTTCTTTATATCTGTTTGAAAAAGATCAGCTTTCCCTCCTGATTTAATGATTCCAATGATCTTTCAAACATCAGCAGAAGCGTTCCAAGATGTACGTAGGGGGTATTCTATACCCCGGCAAAAATATATCATTCGCCACTTTTTGATGGTAGCATAAGTCATCTTTTAAAAAAATCAAGTAATTGAGAAAAACGATCACAATGCAACGGTATCATTTCCGTTGCAACATAAATTATTCTAATTGTGTTGGAAATTATATTTAATATTTTTAATTTCACTTTGTAAAATTTTCAAAATTGAAGAGATACCTCTACATTATTACTATAGTTATGGTTACCTAAAATAAAATCAAAAAGACATAAGCCTATAATTATATTTTTATATGTTTTACATAAAAGCCCTAATAATTAGATATTCTTCGGTAAATGAACCATTTATACAAAAGCATGATTTTAAATAATACAATTTTTCTCGGTTTAGATAGACAACTCACAAAACAAAATTAGCAATTTTTGTTTTTATTTTAGAAAAAAAAAGACATTTATCTTTTTAATTTAAAAACTTTGAATTTAATGCAAAAAAAAATACAACAACAATAAATAAACCGCTGGAAAGGTTTAGTTTTTGTAAGTTTACTTACAAAATTTAATGAAACATTAATATGTAATTCTTTATATAAATGGAATATTTAAAGAGGATTTTTTATGTTAATATTTCAAACTTATATTTCAAATAAGATTATAACTTTAGATTTTTTCACTAGGTTACTTCATATAATTTTTGTTTTTCAGTAAACTCGTTTTTTTTAAAACTATCTACTTCTGCTTAAAACAACTAAATTCCAAAAGATACTGGTACCCATGCCCTACTGGTACCTAAGTAATATGTATATTATGTTTACATAGCGCAAAATTGTATAAATACAAAGTTAGATAAAACAACGTTTAAAATGTTACGAAATATGGAATCATAAATTATATTTTAGTACAGATTGTTTGCTGAACAGTCGATAATTATTTTGTCGCTTGCCAGTTAAATAATGCTTTAAAACAAATTCATCGTTAAAAATAACGTTTGCTTTAATGTTTGCGCAATCAATATATATATATATATATATATATATATATATATATATCATATATATATATATATATATATATATATATATATATATATATATATATATATATGATATATATATATATATATATATATATATATATATATATATATATATATATATATATATATATATATATATATATACATATATATATATATATATATATATATATACATATATATATATATATATATATATATATATATATATATATATATATATATATATATAATATATATATATATATATATATATATATATATATATATATATGTATATATATAAATATATATTAATAATTGTTAGTTTGCTATGTATATATATATGTATATCTATATGTATTTTCTCTTAGCAAAAATAATTGAGAGTAGAAAAATAAAAAAAATTTCTTCTGGAATTTGTCAAAAGGGTGTTGTGTTATTCTTCATTTTAAGGTATCTAAATATGTATTTATTTTTCATTTTTTAGATTAAGTTAGAACTAAATTGACTGGTAAAATAGTTTATTTAGTACAACATTTTATTAAATAGTTTATTTAGTACAACATTTTAAGCAGTATTTGTTTTATATTTTAGAGCAGTTTTAGAGAAGCTGATCGCTTTTTTAGTAAGTTCAAGTTATTTTCTCATACATAAATTAAGGTTTTTGATTTATTTCAGTCTATTTTATATTTCTCTATATCTACATATATATATTCTCTAAGGAAAAATAATAAGGAATAAAAAAATTAAGAAAATTTCTTCTGGAATTTGTCAAAAGTGTGTTGTGTTATGCTTCATTTTAAGGTATCTAAATATGTATTTATTAGAAATTTTTTTAAACCAAGTTTAAAAAAGTTGTTAAACCAAGAAAATTGTAGATGTTTATTTATCAATATATACTATAAATTATATAATAATATTAGAGGGAGTAAGTTAAAAACCATTTTTAAATTTTTAAAAAGAAATAAAAATACTTTTCAATATATATCTGTTTTTTTTTGAGGTAGATTTAAAGTTTCAGGTTTTCAAAATTGTAGATCTTTTTAATGTATAAATAGACATTAAGTATTTCTAAGTAGACATTACGTATATATAAAATCTTTTAAAATTTAATAAATAATTATTTGTTTAAATAAGTAGTTAATTGTTATAATTTATTAAGATTTAAATTATTAGAAAATTCATGTTTACAGAGTTGTTATTAATCATTATCGAGTTGTTGAACCAAAGAAATTGTAGAGGTTTATTTATCAAATATATACTATATATATTGTAAAAAAAATTTTGGTTTTCATATGCTTTCACTAATAAATAGTTCTGTATATATATATATATATATATATATATATATATATATATATATATATATATAATATATATATATATATATATATATATATATATATATATAATATATACATATATATATATATATATATATATATATATATATATATATATATATATATATATATATATATATATATATATATATATAAATATATATATATATATATATATATATATATATATATATATATATATATATATATATATATATATATATATATATAACTATATATAACTATATATAACTATATATAACTATATATAACTATATATATCCTTGGAGTTGCGACAGCATAATAGTGTGTTAGGAGAAAAAAATTTATAAACCCGCGTTAATAACCTGTTTTCTATCATACATAATGCATTAATAATGCATTAATAAGTTTTATTACGTGTTTTGTTCAATGTTTTCTCCCAACGCATGAACTATGACTCTGTCGCAATTTTTTTTTTTTTTTTATTAGAAATAAAATAAGTTTTTGCTGATGTGGCTGCAGGTTTTTTTTAACTTCTATCAAATAAACTTAAGAAACCTGTATTACTTTTGATGAGAGCAAATTAATTTTATTTTGCATTTGTTTGGTTTCTTTATATATATTTGTTTTGAAATTTTTTTTTTTAATTTTTCGAATATGATTTTTTTAGTTATTAAGTTTTTTTATTTTATTGTTAACTTTAGATTAGTAAAAAAAAAAGAAATAATTAGTGTTGCTTTGATAAATATGTTTAATGAAAATGATGACATTGAAATTGATGATAGGCTAGATGTAGTTTTGTATTTACAAGATGATGTAAGTGCTATAAGGCGTGTTGAAAATAATCGTAGACGAAATGAAAGAAATAGATTTAGGCGAGATGAAATTAATTGTTTACAAAATGAAAGAAATAGGCTCGATCGAGATAATGTTAATCGTCGCCAAAATGAAAGAAATAGGCTCGATCGAGATAATGTTAATCGTCGCCAAAATGAAAGAAGAGCTGTTGGACAAGGACGAATGTATTCTATAGCGAGAAGTAATGCTATTCCAGATTATAATTACTTAGGAGAAATGAATCAAATTTGTCAGCACTGTGGTGCTAAGAAATTTCCAGATGAAACACATTTTCTATGTTGCCATAATGGTAAGGTAGCTTTGCCTCCACTTTCACCAATTACACAAGCTTTACAGGATTTGTTTACAGGGAGTTATGTAGATTGTAATGCTAATGCTAATTTTTTAAAACATATTCGAAATTATAATGCCTGCCTTTCTTTTGCTTCTTTTACAGCAAATGTAGTTCAACCAATGAATCATGGGCTTCCATGTTTTAAAATATGTGGCCAGATTTTTCATCGTGTAGGTAATCTTAGGCCAGATCAAGATATTCCACCAATATATTCTCAACTATATATTTATGATCCACTTGCTGCACTAAATTTTAGAATGCAACACTATGCTAATGATCTTTGTTTACGTGATTTAATGTTTCAATTGCAAACTATAATTATGGAACAAAGTCCATTTGCTCTTGCATTTAAAAACATGGCTGAAGTAGAAGATGAAGAAATTCGTAAGGCGGCTATAGAAGGTCGCTCAGCTTCTGTTGTAAAAATGTCTTTACTTGAAGGCGGTGATAGACGTCGTTATAATCTACCTTCACATGATGAAGTTGCAGTTGTATTTGTTGGCGAAGATGGTGCTCCCCCCAACTTCCAGGGAAGTTGTTATATACCCAAGAGGTCATCCTTTAAAAATTGTATCAAGTATGTCAGCCAACTTGGATCCTATGGTTTATCCGCTGTTTTTTCCAAGAGGTGATGCTGGTTGGCATAATCAATTGGTGCATAACCCTGAGCGTGCCACACTGGTTAGAAATCATGTTACATTATCTCAGTTCTACAATTATAGACTTTCTGTTAGGCAATTTTTCTGTTCATTATTTTATGGCAAGAAACTATTTCAGCAGTATGCTGTAGATGCATATGTAAAAATTGAAGGCCAGCGTCTTGCTTTTATCAGAAATAATCAAAATAAGCTGAGAAGCGAGCAGTACGATGCCTTACATGAACATATTAACAACATTGCCAATGATCGTAATATTAGACCAGGGCGAGTAGTAGTTTTGCCATCATCTTATGTAGGAAGTCCTAGAGCTTTAAAAGAAAACTTTGAAGATGCTATGGCAATTATTAAAAAGTATGGTAAACCAGATCTTTTTATAACTTTTACTTGCAACCCAAAATGGCGTGAAATAACAGAAAATTTATATCCGGGTCAGAATGCGAATGATAGACCTGATTTGGTTACTCGAGTATTTAAACTCAAGTTAAATAACCTCCTCAATGATATATTCAAACATGGTGTATTAGGCAAAGTTGTAACGCATGTTCAGGTTATTGAGTTTCAAAAGCGTGGTTTGCCGCACATTTTACTTCATTTAGCAAATGATGATAAACTTGAAACATCACAGGATATCGATAATTTGATTTGTGCAGAAATTCCAGATCCGATAGTTAATTGTGAACTTTATGATATTTTGATTTTTTTTTTTTTTTTTCAGCATCTTCTGTTTCGAATGAAAATGGTGAGGTTATGCTAATTTTTTTTTTTTTTAGTAATTGCAAATGTATAATTTTTATTATACTCTTCTATTTGTAACTTTAGATATTTTTAAGATATATTATAACTTTTTATATTTATATGTTAACATTATTTTATCGATTATTATATATTTATTTAAGTATATATTTGTCTTTAGTGTCAGGTGGAAGTATAGCTGGTAGGATTGTGTTTTATATTTTATATATTTTGTATGGAGAAATATATGCAATAGGTGAAAAAATTAATTAATAAATATGACACTATTGAACTGGTTGCATTATTGCCCTATATATTTATTTAAATACAAAATATTGCATGTTTAACCCTTATTAATTTGCTTTTTTTTTTTTTTTTTTTTTTTCAGCATCTTCTGTTTTGAATGAAAATGGTGAGGTTATGCTAATTTTTTTTTTTTTAATAATTGCAAATGTATAATTTTAATTATACTCTTCTATTTGTAACTTTAGATTCCTTATCATTTGAACAATATCAAAATTATCGTTCCCAACACCCGGGACCTCTCTCAGAGAGGTCCTTCAATAAATGGAAACGTAATGGCGGTATGGATGAGTCCTCCTTTAAATGGACGGCTCATCCATACCGGGGTGTTGGGAGACACCGAAGAAAAAACAGCAACCAAAAGGTTGTAAATGTCTTCTATCAGTAGAGATATTTATGACTTTTTAGTTGCTGCTTTTTCTTCGGTTCTTTTTTTTTTTTAATTTTGTAATTTTTTGTTTCTGTTTTTTTTTTTAATTTTGTAATTTTTTTTTAAAAATATATATTACGTTGTATATTTGATTTGTTTTGATCTTTTTTAATGAAATTTTGATTTTTTTCTCACCAATTAAACCTGACTTCAAATTTAAAGCCCTCTTAAATACCCCTCCCTAAATTCTAAAGTCGAAAGTTGAATTGATTCATTATCCAATTATCATAATATAATGATGCTGCATTCTTTTGTTAAAAACAATTATTTGGTACTGCTTTTAAAATTTACCAAAACCCAAGGCAATATATTTAGCTATATAAATACAATTTATTTATCTCGATTCCATTCTTAATCTTTTATGTTTATAGTTTGGCTACTTAAAGCATTTTATGTTTTGCTCTTTTTATTATGAATATTTTAAATCCGTTGTGATGTCTTTTAAATTAAACTAAAGTTTACTAAAAGCCAACATAAAAATTACGTTTTTGAACAACACCAAAAAGAACAGCTGCATCCCTACAGCAACTGTTGCTTACAATAGGTTACCAAAAGCAGGTATACTGTTTTCCAGTTTTTTTTTTTTTTTTTTTTTTTTTATATATATCTACTTATTTATATAATACTATAGTACGATTGTTTATATCTCATTCATTTTTTTTTTGTTTATCTTTTGTTTATTAAGTGTTAATAATTTTATTCTTTGAATGATATTAGTTAAACAAGTCGGCTTTTCATTAAAGATATTGGTTTCAAAATTGAACATCATTGGCAAAATGCTTACAAAATTAGATAGTTTTTAAAAATCTGTTTTCTATTTAATATACTTTTTTAATATACTTTTCTATAACAATTCTACTAATATGGAATCACGTAGCTTTTTAAATATGTTTAATTGTCGTCCCTATCGGTAATAAATATTTTAAATTATTTGATATGGTTTTCTTTACAATAGGCTATGCTTGGCTCCTCGGTGCTGTAAATGGTGGCTTCAACTTTGTTTTTTTTAAGAAAAATGTGTTTTATATATGCTTCTGTTTTAAAATATTTTTGTTACATATTTAACTATATATTATGTAAATAAATTTCTTTTAAAGATAAGTTAACTTAATACTTGCTTTTTTACGGATTTTCAAAAAGTGAACAAAGGTTTAAATATATTTTTTAACTGTCTTTTATGATTTTATCAATTTTATTAAATATTACTTCAAATATAAAATTTACTATATATAAATAAATATGAAAATTACTTAAAAAATATTAAGTAAAATCTAATTGCTTTTATTATTAACCTGATATATACAAAAATTAATGAAATAAAACTAATAATCTAACGCCAAGTTAAGGCAAAATGAAATAAATATGTTGATACACGTTAGCTATTATAGTAAATCCATATATTCCTTTGTTTTTTTATAATCAAGTTACTGCTGGATTACTAATTAAAAAAAAGGTTGGTTTAAATAATAATTTTTATCATAACATATAGGATCCGTATGCAGGGTAAGCCTTTTTCGGAATTGCGATATATTTTTCAACTTATAGTTTTTCCGGATATCCAACTTCTATTCCTGCAAGTTTGGGTGTAATATTTTAGATGTTTTAAAAAATATATTATTAACATTTAAAAGGTTTAGGTGCGATAGTGACATATTTTGAAGCTCTTCACTCAGTTAAATGAAAAGTTTAAAAAATAAAGAAACGACTCAGCTTAAAGAAAAATTAAGTGTAGAATATATTCCCAATATTTACCTAAGCAATTTTACGGAATTTGAAAATTTGACATCGATTTTCTGTGCATATAAGTTAAGTCATTTTGTGGTTAACTTTATCTTTAATGAAGCTAAGAGTTCTCTTAAACTAAGAAGCCAAGAAAAATAAAAGTGAGCTCAACTAAAAAAAATGTATAAATAAATTTATATTTCATTAGAGAAAGTAAATAAAGATTAAATTGACAGTAATAACTTATTTACTACTAACCCGTATTACGGATTGCTTACTGTGTAAATTAATAATTTATTAGAGTAAGTAAATAAATATCAAATTGTTAATAATGATTTATATACTATTAACCCGTATTACGGGTTGCTTACAGCTAGTATATATTATAACGTTTGCTTTAATGTTTGTGCGATATATACCCAGTAAGCACAAGACGCATTTTCGACACTTATAGACGTCTAAAACTAGTCTAGGTAAAGACGCTTTTTTATAGACGTTTTGAAGACATCTTTTAGACGTCTTTTATAAATGCGTTTTTAAAATGACGTTTAAAATGCGTCTTTTTAAAGTTTAAAAAGACGTTTAAAAGACGCATAATAAATAGTCTAAAGGACACATTAAAAGACGTCTAGATCATAAGGCTAAAAGACGTCTTTTCTGAGACCTGTTTATAAATATGTCATTATGACTTCTTTTTGACGGCTTTGTCATTACGCGTTAAGTAGATGTCGTTTATTCAAAGTAAAAACATAGTTTTTATTATTTTCAATAATTTGTTCAAGTTTTAAGTGTAAATTACTTTAAATTAAATTACTTTTTTACACAATTGCTAAAACTGTTGTCACAGGAATCACTAAAACAATTGCTATAATATTAATATATCTTTTTTTTATTAATAATTATTTTGCTTTTTTAATAGATAGTTGACTGATCATGATAATAAGTGAAAATGGCAAGAATAATAAATAAGTTAAATATCAGTATTTTTAGTTTTTATACACCCACAAGCCATATAATAAGTCAAGTATGCGGTCAAAAATTAGCAAGGACTATGTATGATTAATTTTATCATAACTAAAGGGAAGTTATAAATGTTTTAAATACTGTTTTGATATATATTTGCTATTGTTATTTATTATTTTCATTTTTGATGCATCAACCGTTAATGGTGATTACAGCAACATTACTTTGATTGCTGGTTCCTATGTATATCTTGTATATACGAAATTATAACATTATTTATCGTTATGATTATAATGAATATATACCACATACTACGCGAAAATGTTACGTCATGTACTTAAATTCATCTTAAAAAATACGTCTAAAACGCGTTTTTATAAAGACGTCTTCATTTAGACGTCTTTTAGCCTTATGATCTAGACGTCTACAAGTGCGCCTTTTAGACCTCCTTAAAGACATCTTTAAAACGTCTTTTAAACGTCTTTGTGCTTACTGGGTATATATATATATATATATATATATATATATATATATATATATATATATATATATATATATACATATATATATATATATATATATATATATATATATATATATATATATATATATATATATATATATATATATATATATATATATTTATATACATCTAATAATATGTATATATATATATATATATATATATATATATATATATATATATATATATATATATATATTTATATATATATATATATGTATATGTATAAATATATATATATATATATATATATATATATATATATTTATATATTTATGTATATATATATTTATATATAAATATATATATATATATATATATATATATATATATATATATATATATATATATATATATATATATATAATATATATATATATATATTAATTTATAAAAATAAAGAAAACAACTTTTTATGGTACTAATAGTTTCATGCCTGAAGGCAATCATCAGCCATGTAATACAAAACAAGAAACAAAAAAAAACCGTTAAAATATAAAGTTACAGTGGAGTGTGCTCCGTCGTCAAAACAAAACAAAAACAAAAAGATAAGAAAAAACTAAAAACGGCTGCCTAATCACCCGTATCGAAATTCGAAAGGAGGAATTTGCTTTTATGTCTACATTTAGATACTAATTCATTTCTCTTATTTAATAAGTTATCATAGGTGTACGATATTATGAAATACTTTTCGTATAGACATAAGTTGCATCGTTTTATTGTAGGATTGTAAGATCTACAACGTTTTAAAATTTTCATTTAATTGTCGGGTTTACTCCATTTTCTTTTAACTTCCATACTTCCTTAGACAACTCAGTATCGTTTTTATATTTTTCGATGTTAAAAGATTTTGTATGATTAGCGTATCTAAGTTTAAAAGCAATTTCACTTACTCCAAAATATACTCCAAAATATACAATCCCGTCTGGAGTGCCTGGATATAGAGTGGCTTGATACACTATGTTATTAACGAGGCACTGTTAATTTAAAGGGCACTTGCTTTTAGTAATACAATTGCAAATTTTATCTGATTCTGGGTGGATGTTTTTCATAATATGACGGTTATGAAAGTTAACGATTGATTTATGGTTTGGCATACAACTGTAACTCACCTATAGAGTATTTCTATTAAAAATCTTGTGGTATTTATGGCCAACTGGAAAGTGCTTGTCAATTAAATCCAAAAATGTTTTACCAATTTTAGTAGAAACATTTTTACTATATGGGGGGTTAAACCAGATAATATTGCGCTTACGGTTTTTTGGTAGAGGTTGAATGAGTTTCGGAATATAATTAAGTTTAAATTTGTAACCAGACTTTTTTAATGCATCCTAATACAAATGAGCAGATATATATATATATATATATATATATATATATATATATATATATATATATATATATATATATATATATATATATATATATATATATATATATATATATATGTATATATAAATATATATATAAATATATGTATATATATATATATATATATATATATATATATATATATATATATATATATACATATATATATATATATATATATATATATATATATATATATATATATATAAATATATATATATATATATATTTATTTCCAATCAAGTGCTTTACTATCGTTTAATAAAAAATTAACGCTTCTTAATTATTTAATACCAAACGTTCACTGTAACGCTTTCACAGCTTTATCCTGTGTTCTAGAAAATACTATGATTTCGGATTATTTTCATGCTCAATTTTTACTTTTGTCAAAACATATATAACTTAAATTTTGAAAATAAAAATATTTAAAAGCTCGATATACAAAACATCTTCAAAAAATTTTAAAATTGTATTTAAAAAGTTTTTAAATTACTCAAACAACTTTTAAGCACTCTGATAAAAGTAAACTTTAGTAAAAACTAAAACTTATGTAGATAAAAAAGTTAAAATTGAATGAAATGCATATGAAATAAATGATCTACAAAAAAAAGTGTTTTTATTAACGCAAACCCAACATATAAATACGCTTTAAGGTTTTTCGATATTTATTTTTTTTGAATAATCCATTATTACACTAATTTTTCGCAAAATTAAATTTTAAAAAATATACTGTTATAAT